GCCCAGCAGGTCGAAGCTGCGGTGGCCGGGAGCATGCCACTGTCCTCCAGTCTGGGAGACAGAGTAAGACTCCAACTCAAAATAAATAGATAAAATAAAAAAATAAATAAAAAGAGAGAGAATAAAAAAAAAAAAAAAGGAGTCACCATTTCCAAGCAATTTTAAATTCCAACCAGACAAACTTCATTTGATCTCAGGGTTTGGGAATAATCCTCTGTGGCTTAAGTTCTACACCCTGGGCTCTTGGTTCTGCTCTTTGGGCTTCCAGTTCTTCCTTTAGGACCATCTTTCATTTTTCATGGAAAATATGTAAATATGTATTTGCATGTTTGTAGTTTCAGGAGTCTGTTTTCTACTTGTAGACCTTTCAAAGTCCAGCAGCCTACTTTCGTTACTTCTGCTCTCTGTCACTTTTTTGGTATAAGCTGACAGTGTTCTTGCTAGCATAAAATTCTCAAAATCCTTGTGAATCTCGTTTGTATGTCATGGGGATTCACTTTATTAAACAAGAGGCCCTTCCACAGGTTTTTTCCTGCATAATCACATATCTATTTACAGCTTCTGCTGAATTGACTGAGAGGATCCATTAGTTATACATAAAATCTCTTCGGCGAGCCTTGTGTATGACAGAGCACTCTGACTTTTGATCCTCCTGAGATATTAGCAAAAGGCTATCCAGCCACACACTTGGCTTTCTTTTCAGAGCACGCTTTCCTGACAGCGAGTCTTCTAACTTTTTTGTCTTTTGAAATTTGTATAGGCAAAAATTTCGCAAATCATGTCTCTGTTCCTATTTGCTAAACAATTCTTCCATCAATTTTTCTTATTCCTCTCCCATTTGACTGTAAGCAGTCAGAAGAAATAAGTCTCCATCTTTAACACGTTGCTTGGAAATTTCCTAAGCTAAATATCTAAGCTCCTTGTTTATAAGTTCTGGTTTTTACATAACTGTAGGATGCAAATCAACTAAATTTTTTGCCACTGTATGACAAGAATCCCCTTTCATTCAGGTTCTAACAACATGATGCTTATTTTGGGGGAGGAGGGGATGGATGTTAAGGAATTGGCTCATGTGGTTGTGGGGACTTGCAAGTCTGAAATCTGTAGGGTAGGCTGGTAAGCTAGAAATGTAGGAAAAAGTTGATACTGAAGTCTTGAAGTAGAACATCTTCTTTTCCAAGAATCCTGTCTTTGATCTTTTTTTTTTTTTTTTG